ACACACACACACACACACACACACAATAAAAAACGGATGATTATTTTATTATTGTGACTGAACTGCGTAAATCTCAAAACGACCCCCTGTCACTGTCTTAACATCTCAGAATATATTCAATTTTAGTCCTTTGAAATCACACTTAATTTACAGTTTAAGTGTATTTTCTCCCCTTCAAGGTAGGGATAGGATCTGTTGAAAGTGCAGCTGGCATGTTTTTAGCACATTCTATTGGCGTTGTCAAGAAAAAAAAATCGCAGTTGGCTACCAGCACAGGTGCGTGGAATTTTGAGGGTTTACACCGAAGCATTTATTAATTTGTTTTCTCTACAGGAATTTCTGTCTTGGTCTACAGACGTTCACATACACTCACGTCACTCCCACGCAAATACATACAAGCATAACCGCGTGTTCGTATTCACAAGTTTGTGCATTTGGATTCCAAATGTCCCTAATATTCTTTCTCTTTTCTTCCTTTTAATTAAATAATCATTGAACTGTCTGGACTGTGAAAAAGAAGATAAATACCAGCATCATACTGTACCGTACAACAGATTAAATTTTTGTTCTTTCAGGCTGTATATTATGGTTCATATGTAGCTAAATCATTTGCTTTCATCGTTACTTTTACGCTTGCTGTTGTCGTTCCTTTTTGTTGACAACCAATTTCTTTCAATAAGATTAATTACAATGTAAGCCTACACAAAAGTCGTGGCATGTAGTATGGCTCGAGAGCCCCACACACGTTCAAATTTGTTTGATGGTTTTTGATCAAATATGTTTGACACAAATTTTTGGGAGGTTTGATTGTCAAAAGCATTTGATATCAAATATTTGACGGATCTGTTTTCAGTTAATATTTTTTGTCAAACTGTCAACATTTGTGCAAACATTATAGCCTATTTTTTCAGTTGCTGCCGGATAGAAAAATTCTACTTTTTTACCTCATCGTGGCGCCATCAAAAGGTGAAAAAAAAAATCTGAAGCCGATTGAAGTGTATCAGAGTTGGCCTGACCTATGGAAGGTTAAAAGTAAAGAATAATATAGTGACCGAGATTTAAAAAAAATAATTGAAGAGGCTACATGACGCTCTGCTGCTGAAATACAGGGAATGCAGGTGCCACAAAAGAAGAAATGAAAAAGAAAATTAACTCAATGCAGACGAGTTTTCGAAGGCAGTTGAAGAAATTGGATGATAATTCTCAAATGTCTGGGGGCCGGTCAAGGAGATTAAAAGATTAGTTTCTAAACTCCTTGGGGCCGGTGCAGATGATATATCTACGAGCCTTCATTGTGTGTGTGTGTGTGTGTGTGTGTGTGTGTGTGTGTGTGTGTGTGTGTGTGTTTGTTGTTGTTTTTAATGCCCTTGTCAATTTTTAATGCGTAGTCAAGAAACACCGGCACGGGTCGCAGAGCCGCACTTTCTTTCTTTTTTTTCTTCGCAAGAGCCAACGCTGTTGGTCCGTCCTCAACAAACTCTTGGCACAAACTAATGTTTGACAAACAAATTTGAGCGTGTATGGTGAACGTCAAACTGTCAACAACAACAAAAGATGAAAAATGTTTAACAAACAAAATGTGAGCGTGTAGAGATCTTGGCTAAATCTATGGGGCACTTTACTCTGACAACTGACAAGGCAGCAGTGGGAAGGGAAATCACTCTCTTTTTTTTAGCGCTCTCTCTTGTTGACAACTGTCTAAGCGACCCGAGGCTTTTTCCTGTGGCGTTCCTTGGAAACTGTCATGTCTGAGTAGGAGGGCTACTTCAAGAGAAAATGAGTTCAATTTCTAATAGAATGTTTGAAGGTGCGTTTTGTATGGATCTGTTGTATTTTTAAACAAAGCATCATATCGAGAGTCATTGTGTTGTACTGGTCCACCCTCGGAAGTAGGCCCTGACCCAGATCTAGATCTAGATCTATACAAAAATAATTAGTAGTAGAGACAATACTTGACCAAAAGCCGCTAGCCTACGTGCATTGATTTTCAATTCAGTAGTCGTAGAGTATCACAGTAGTAATAGTAATGATGATGGAAAGTGTTACACCGGCACACCGTTTGTCTATTAGATATCTAGCTCTTCATTTTGAGGCTATTAGGTGCAGTATCGAGGTTTAGATTAAATCTTTAGTTGTGTTAAGTTTCACTAGTTTCAGTGTTAGATTTTACATCCACATTTTATCCTGATGAAAATCAGAGCCAATTTGACCCCCCCCCTCTTTTTTTTTCTTCTGTATGCCACACCCTGGTTAGTTGAATTGTATTAATTTGCCATGTAACTTGATTGATCCTGCCCTTTCTCTTATAAAACCACATTTCAAAGGTATTGATTTTATTCTCAAGATGTCTATATAATATAATATAGTCAACGCTTCTATATCTGTATATGGAAAAGATGTACAGCTGACAGTGCCTCATGAGTGGTAGTGAGATCTGGCAAGATGTTAGCAACTAGCTCATTTCCCTTACCTTTACTTTTACAATCCCTCTACTTCTTATTGCAGTTTCTGTGTTGCTTCTCCTTGCTTTTAAAGAAATTATTTCATCTGAGTACTTGAACTGATGTACATGCTCTATTTTTTTCGCCATCTATTTGAAGATCAGCTGTTTTGACTGGCAATTTAGGTATCAGCACTGTCTCTGTCTTGTCTTCTTCGCATTTATTTTAGGCCTCCATTGCTACTGTGTTTTTTTTCTTTATTTAAATATTTGTGTTGATTTTTAGATCTTCTTTATTGTCTGCAATCAGTTCGAATGGTATCGTTAGCATCTGAGATGGTTGTTGTTTCTGTCCCAAATAATTACACTACCTAGTCTTGCTGCAAGAATTAGTCAGCTTAATAGCAAAAATTAGTCAGCTTAATAGACTGCCTTGAAAAGACCTCTCTACAGCATGGAAATCAGCGCTGAGAAGACCAAACTGATGTCTAACAGCAACAAAAACAATACAGTGGACATCCAAGTCAACAACAAGAGGCTTGAGACCGTACGCAGCTTCAAATACCTGGGTGCAATAGTCACACACGAAGGATTTAAAACCAGAAATAATCTCCAAAATAATGCAAACTTCAGCAGCAATGACCAAGTTGAAAACCATCTGGAATGACAAATATTACCATCAGATCAAAGATCAGACTGATGCGTTCCCTGGTGATGTCAGTATTTGTTCATGCATGTGAATCCTGGACCATGAATACAGACCTTGAAAGTAGGAAAAAGCTGTGGAGATGAGATGCTTCCGAAAAATCGTTGGTATCTGATACAAAGATCACTTCACAAATGATGAAGTCAAACAACAGATCAAAAATGAAATTGGACCATATGCTGACCTTCTCACTCTGGTCAGGAAAAACTGCATTGGTATAGACACATCACCCATTGATCCGGCCTTGCCAAGATGATCCTGCAAGGCAGCATCCAGGGAAAAAGGAGTAGAGGCAGACCAAAGAAGAGTTGGGAGGACAACATCGAGGAATGGACAGGCCTGGATCTCAAAGACGCGCTCAGGAAAGCTGAAGACCGGAAGGAGTGGAGGAAGCTGGTGGCCAAATCTTCAAAAGCGCCCCGACGGACATCCAGTCTACAGGATAGGTGAAGGTGTGAAGGTGAAAGTCTTGCTGGTAACAAAAAATAATGACCCTCCTCGTTACTTTTCTGGATTTTCATCAGAAGATTATAAGTTTACTGGTGACTAAATTGGAATGTAGCCCTTGGCAGCACTTGAGCTTGTTGGATACCAATTAAATGCTGCATGCAGAAGAATGTGTAAAACTTTCCTTTGCTCATTGTTGTTGGTTAGTTTTTTTTTCTTTAGTTATATTTTCATCAAAAACATTATATTTTTCTATAGCTCATTTGTTTGTGTCCTTATTAATTCTTCCAAATTTCCAACAGTTTCTGTGGAGCATGTCAGTTGAGAGCCATCCTACCATCCACAAGAGCTTTTTAAACATAGGTGTTGGATGAAATTACAGTCACACCAAGGTCATTATACTTTTTTTGTAAGTTTCTCTTTTGTTGATGTTCCTCATTTAATCTTCCAAAATGTTTACCTTTTCAGTATAACATGTCAGTTGAGAGCCATCCCACCTGCCAACTGAGGCTTTTGGGCTTAGAAGTTGGATGATGTGAGTTCTACCCCACACGTGGTACAGCTCAATGAGGTTCCACTGCACTCATGGCTCGGCTGTCCGCCTGTCCTCAAGCAGCAGTACAGCCACCAGAGAAGAGGACACCTTCTGCAATGGCTTGGCCTTCTCTGAGCAACCCATCAAAATTAACCAACGGGTTTGCTTGGAGCTGGGCTCCTTGTCTACATGGAGTGGTGGAATCCGTATAGGTGTGACCTCCTCCAACCCCAGCAAACTTGCTCCCGAGGAATTGCCTCGATTCGCGTATCCAGACCTAGCTAACCGACAAGGATTCTGGGTCAGGGTCTTGGGGGAGTCTCTGACATGTACACCAGACTGTAGACTGACCGTATATCTGACCTCGTTTGGTCAGGTTCAATTATTCATCAATGGGCAACATAAAGGAGCTTTACTTCTGGGTCTGCCGACCAATCAAAACCTGTGGTTACTTCTGGATATCTATGGCAATACCAACAAGGCGACATTTATTCAGCCAGGTGAGCATATGTGTATATGCAGTTCTCAAAGAGAGAATATTCATTACAGTAGAAATCATCATTAACCACATGCACACATGCACTGCCTTTAAGCTACAGGTGCTGATATTGACATGAAATGTTTTTGTCTTCTTGTCATGATACAGTCACCGTGGTTCATAAATAATTTGTATTCGAATATAATAGGGGAATAATACAGCTTACAGAAGAGTTCTATACATTTGGTACTGCTTACGATAGTCGCTCTGCCAATGGTAATGTAAAAGAGCACTTACATATTCTATATGTACTTACGACACAAGTGTTTTTGAAACTATTTCAGTAATAATATTGTCAACCAATTACAGGACTGCTCAGGTGTATAAATTATGTCTTTATGTCGAAACAGGATTCTGCACTGAGGGGACCAGCATTGATGTTAATGCATTCAAAGGACAGTTGATTGTTTCAAAGGACAGTTGATTGTTTTATATTGATACTCTATGCTTTGAGTTTGCATCACTTTAAACAAATTCTTGAAAGGATTATAAAATGAAATTGAGAACAAACAAAGACAGTGGATTTTTAAAAATGTGTTTTTCCATATCCATACATCAGATGATGTTCCTAAAGAAATTCAAGCCCGTGGCCCTGAAGTAGTTGAGGCCTATGAACAGGCCTGTATCTGGGGCACACAGTCAGTGTTCAGATCTCGCCTCATGCTTGTTGGCCAGGAGGGAGCTGGGAAGACCAGTCTGAAGAGATCCCTCTTAGGACAGTGGTAATTATGATCTTGTGGTTATTGTTTTGTTTCTCCACTTCGTCTACAGCTCTGACTGTGGGATAACCGTGATGAGTGTTGTACTTTCATCCCAAATGTGCTTGTGTCTGAAGTATAAGAATGGTTTTAATTTATGCACAATCATCATAACAACGAGGTTGGGGCACTGACAATGATTAAGTGGTTTTTTAGTTTGGCGTCATGAAAATAGAGACTGGGTTACAATGGCTATGTTGGCAGTAAATGATATGACAGGTTCGACGTAATTGTAATTTACGCCTGGCCAGCCCACAATCAACACTGTTTCAATCATTTTAGAAGCAGACTGGTTCAACCTGGCCTGTCAGGTCCAACCCAGACTGTGTGAGAAACAGCATCTCTGCAGATTGACAGAGATACTCGATAAAGATGTACTCACGTAGAAATCATACTCTCTTCTTGTGGCGTCGGTGGCCTAGTGGTTAGGCTACCGGACTCCTAATCTTGAGGTTGCGGGTTCGGGGGTTAGAGCCGCGGGCTCGAAGTTGTGTCCTTGGGAAAGGCACTTTACACGAATTTTCCCCTCTTCACCTAGGTGGGAATGGGTACCCAGCTATAGACAGTGAAAGATCTTATCAGTTTGTTAGTGTTTGAGTGCTTAACCAGCTGCTTGCACTGCATGCTTCCCGGAAAGCTGAGAATGTTTCTGAGTGTTCTATGGTCTGCTGCGGTAATAATTATAATATAGTGTGAAGCGCATAGAGCTTGCTTTCTAGTGGGGACATGCGGTATACAAATGCTGTTTATTATTTATTATTATTCTTTTACTTGCAACAGCAAATAGCCTTACTCCTACACCACAGACACTGGTTTGGTGGGTTACTAAAGCTTTGCGTGAGAAAAAAAGCTCTAAGTAGAACAGCCGTATTTTTCATTCTAATGAGATTTGCGTTACATTCATGTGTATGATGCAGTGATTCACAATGCACAGCTATACAAAGAAGTTTGCACAAATCAGCAGAATGGTATGAATAACACAAATTTCTTGTGTAAATAATAATTGTTCAATTTGGTCTTCTTGTGCTTAGATGTACTGAGCGTCCTTTCAATACTTAATTTATTTTCTATTTTAACAGTTATCACCTCGAATATTTCATCGTATTCACATTGTTATGTTACATATGCTGCTCAGACGAGCATGTACTGGAAAGAGTGTCTTCAACATCAATTTTGAGCACTTAACCCAAATTGAAATTTAGAAACGTTGGTTTCAGGCAAGAAGTCATTTTCTAAAAACTCATCGATTTCCTAAAACTGTTCACAGGCTCAGAAAACTGCAATAAAAATATATAATGTTCTCTTGTTCAGTCATAACGAGACAGAGGAGACAACAGAGGGCATAGACCTGTCAGCTTCGTGCTCCTTCTCACTGACCAGCAACAGGTCCTCTTGGAAGCTGGCCATCAAGGGTGATGAGACCGTGCGGCGAGAGAAGCTGCTGGACTCAGTGGACCTGGGAGTTTTAGGTTGGTCCTCCAGCAGTACTTGTGTGTGTATGTGTGTGTGTGTTGTCACAAGTATAGTTTACTGTAAGCCATTTGTTCCCATGTATTTTTTATAGATTTAAAAAAGTGTTATTTTATCTCGATTTAAGATAGTGCTTTTGCTGAGAACCTTTTGTTCCATTGATACCTATATGGTTTGCATTTTATCTGTATGGAAGTGTTCTACCATTGTGTAGTGCTGCCACTGATGAATACACATTTTCCCTCAGCACATGAAGCCATGAGGCTTGATTTTCAGTTGATGAATGTTTGCAGGTAATCTTAAAGCACATCAGTGGCCAAGTGGCATTGAAACAGCTTATGGTGCCATTTATTAAATGGTTGAGGGTAGCAATGCTGCTCACAGGGGATGTGTTGATTGTTCCGTTAAAAAGACATTGTGCTAGAGTTGGTGCAGTAAAATATTCATTACACTTTGGTGGTTTTCTTTTTGTTGTGAAAGGTTTGACAGTTAGTGGTTTTATTTAAGTGCTTATCTCTCGAGTAACTACCACAAAATATCTATATGAAATGTAAATAGATAACTCTAAAAAATGTTTAGACCAAATTTTTGTTTTAAAAGATATATGGTAACGTTTTGTCAAAGATTGAGTTCAAAAGTGAAAAATTACATATTAAAAAATTTGAAATACAATTATTTCCTTCAAAAGAAAGTATGGACTAGGATATGTACAAAGCAGTTCAGGTCCCCTAGTAGAATTATCTGATTTCATAAATGAAAGTTATTAGTGAGCAATTATAGGGATATGACATGTTTTGTGTGCTGTGCGTGGTTTCCTCAGGTAATGCAGAAGGTCTGGAGGAGGAGTACATCCGTGCTGTGGCTGCAAACATTGCACAGGAGCTGATGGCTGTGAGAAGGGAAAAGGCTGAACCTGGCCAGACAGCTGGAGGAAGAAGAGACTCTGTGTGTACCCCGTCTTGAATTAACATAGTATCTTTAGGTCTATAAGCAGTTTGTTTTGTGAGGTGCTGATGTCCAACAAGTGTGGGGGAAGAGATGATAAATTCTGCAAATTAACCCTTTCTGCACCAAGTTAGTTATATAGTTGTATTGTTTTCTTGACACATGCTGTTGAGAACAATGGAGAAATCTTAAGAAAGTGGTAATGGATCATTTGTATCACACATAATCCTGCTTAACAACAAGCTTTATGTGCTTTACAATCTTTATTATAATCCCAGCAGACCTAATAGCAATCTCAAACAATCTCGGCTGCCTGGGAAGCACACAGGGAATAGCAGTTTATTGTCTTCTATCACTTCCAGTCTAAGACTTGCATAAATTGGGAGTGGCTCCCTTGGCCAGCCTGTTAGTCCAATTTACTATCACTGTCCCACTGAGAGGACATTCAATGAGGGAGAGTCATAGTGTTAGGTGCTCAAGCACAGTTATTTTTATAAATGCCACCCAACATTTTGACAAGGAGCCTTTTGCCATGTTTGAGCTGATTAAGCTGAGGGGGAATGCGTTTCCCAAAGATCTTCCTATTCTGCCAGTATGGGAATTGCATCTGCAAACTTCTCTTTAAGCACAGAGTTTTATGCACATTTTCCAGGAATTTGTGGGGTGAAATTCATATCCTTCATCATAGATTACATAAACAGCTGTTCCAAGACCAAGATTTAAAGAAATATGTGAGGCATCATGGTGAAATCAGGCACTCGTCTAAATAACGAAATCTTAGAAAAAGGCATTTTTCCGCAAGTTTGGAAATTTTTATTGAATTTTTATGCTTTGGCTCAACCCCTTTTATGTCCATATAAAAACACATTTCCCTGTGAATTTTATTGAAAAATATTGATTAAAGACACAAAATGTGTCATTTTTCCGTTTTCTTTAGCTATTGGAGTTACCAAACTTTGGCAGTCGTTTTCTTGTTAATTTCACCACTGAAACCAGGCGACCTCACCTCCTTCAATCGCAAATATTTTGTATTCTATTCAAGATAGATGAATAGTTATTTCTTTGGAAGCAAGGCAAATAAATCGGCTTTCAGATGATACCAATAACTCCACATGCCCGAAGATTGACGAGTGCCTGATTCCACCTCGTCGTGACACATAATAATTTAGTCATATCATATATTAAATTGAATGAAATAGCATGCTGACACAGAAAATATAAGAATCATGAATACATGTCTTGCTTTTGTTGAGTAAAGCTATAATAGACACAGAATTCACAGATGATGGCAAAAAATTGAAATCTGATTCCCTTCTAGATCTGTGTACAATCTTCATAGCTGTTTAGCAGCTTTAGTTCTAGATGTATACAGCTAGTAAAGCTATCAATAGAATCTTCAGTCTCTACTATATATTCCACTACACTTTCTAATGTAATTCTCCAAGGCTTAGGCTGCTATTGTGATCCAGATGCCATTGTTGTGTGTACACCTGTTGTCAACCGAAACAAAATTTTAAAATCGTCCCTTCAAAAGACCTGATGTAAACACACATTGATCAAACTAGACAACACACAGATATTAATAAAGAAATGAAGAAGTAGTGTGAAACACCAATGAACTCTGAAATTGTTCCTCTGTGAGTCCCAACTAAGACTGTGAACATTGTTCTGTGTTCAAAGAGGTATGATTGTGGCCATCACATCTCAACCATTAGATGAGATCAAGTCACTGTCTCTAGAGGTATCTAAATTACAAGGAAACCTAAAATATATTTTTTGTTGTGTACTGCAAAGAAAACTGCCTCTGAACCAAATGTTCTCTTTTGTCACAGGTCAAGACAGACCCAACAATCAACAAAACCATGAATTTCCAAGAAAGTGTTAATAAGGATGATCTGCTCCATGAGATGAAAACCCTACCCAGCATGCACCAAGAGGTTCCCGATCATGTTGTGGATCTAGTCCAGGTATAATGTCAATCTTTTGATTTAAAATGTGTCAGCACAATCTTTTACACAATAATTTTACCTCTTTTACCTACTTTATTGATGTATTATTTATTTCTGAGTTGGAAACCTTGTTCTATTTTTTTTATAATACATTAAAAAAATCTTTTGTTCAGTAATAGTAATTTACTTTTCAAACTTCTCATGATATTTGGACCCTCTTTTTAAAAATTGGGGAATGGGGGAAGGGGCATTGTGTAATTTCTGTAATGTTTACTGTATTTGAAAAAAATTCCTCTGAATTATTTATAATTCTTAATGGCATTTTTATTTTCTTATTTCATTGTTCACCTTTTATTTAATATTGTACATTGGATATGCAGGAGATCCTACAACAGAAGAAAAACCAAGGGGCAAGAAAAGATGGGGAAGATCCTCAGGGTTTGGCGGAGAAACAGTTGCAGGAGCAGAGGGTGGTGCTCAATATCTGGGACTTTGCTGGCCAGGCCGCGTACTACACCACACATCAGGTTTGCTTGTTGTCATGTGTTGCCTGCAAAACTTTGTGTCAGTTATGTTGAATTAATTATTGAACAAAGAATGAAAGGATCTATTGTAAATAATGTTGTCACTGACCGGGTGTTTGTGTCACATTTCCCCTTGGTATGAAGTTATCCCTCCTCCATCATTGCTTCCTCTACACAGAGACGGATCAATGAAAGAACACAGACTTTGTGTCTTTCTGATTGCAGATAAGGGATTTATCATTATTTTCATTTTCACATTAAAAAAATTTAATGTGTTTGGCTATATCTTTTAAAAATTGCTTCTTTTTTTTTTGGTTGGGTGACAATTTTTCATCAATACCCCCTACCAATCTTAAGAACTTGATCTTTTTGAATTTTTGTTGATGATGTTTAGTGTTTACGCTTACGTATTTCCATTAGCAATTGGTAGTTGGGGAAAAAATAAAGGTGAACTTGGATATTTCACTGTTGAGGTTTGGCAATGGTGATGTAATAGCAGCTTGAAAGTTTTTTAGTCTGTGGAATATTGACTACTTTTACCTGTGCTAAATTACAAAAGAAGCTGAAAGTTTTTCAGAGTGCCTGGTGGTGTCTCTGTCTGAAGGTGTCACAAATATTGTGTCCAAGGTGCTCTTTTGTTTCACATTTGTTTTAAGGGATATGCCCAACTAATTTCTTCTTTCTTATTGCCCTTCAGTGATGTTTCATAGAAATGTTTTCTTTTTTTACTGTAAATGATGTATCTAAGAAATCCATATTGGTTCTAAAGAGCATAGAGCATGATGAAGAGCATGGATATGGGCTATATAAATACAACTATTATTTCTTTTTTATATTCTTTTATTATATTTTGAATAATGTGTCTTAGAAACTGTTTGACTTTATAGTTGTGTATAAATATCATTTTCAAAATGCCGTTTTTACTTTAGAATCCTCTATAAAGTTTTTCACTCAATTATTTGGCTATATATTCTCATGAATCTTTGTGTTGCTTCCTGTTATTGTAAATCTCAATTTGCTTTGTCATTGTCGTTCCAGGTGTTCCTGACTCACCGAGCTGTTTACTGTATAGTGTTCAACCTCTGTGATGATCTCACTGAAAACCGACCCGAATCTGTAGACAAAGTAAGAAGAGTTGAAGTGTAGTAGTATATCTTTGTGTGTGACGATGTTTTGAATGTTTTCTACCCTGAAAAGTATGCTTGGCCCACGAAGGAACATTTTTGTTTTAATTGTCTTTTTCTTAGGTTTGGCAAAAAAAACATTTTTTCATTTATGCACGTCTGTTTTATTTCATGTGGTAAAAGACAGGGTTTTTAAACTGATAGTCTATCAATGGTAATTTAGTTGGCTGAAAAGTTATCGGATCCTGTAATGCTATTTTGGAAGATGGGCCTGAACTGTCAGAAATGACATGTGACTAACCAAAGGCTGAAAATTCTTATTTCAGAGTATATGCAACTTACCATTTTCTCTGTACATTTTTATTGTGTTTTTCACCTTGAGCAGGAACAGTGGCTTAACTTAACTCCTTATCTCCGAGGGGGGTAAACACACTTTGCCCAGGCCCTGCTTTGGTGCTAAATCTAAAAATGACAAGAACGTCATTAAATGGGTAATTAAATCGAAACTAGCAAACCTGGTTAGATAGTTCTTCATCTAATGAATGAACTTCCAGCATAAGAGACCTGTTTTCGGCAATTGCCGAAAAGTAATTTGATGTCGAAGTCGTCATAAAGGAATGAGCTGAGCTGCCAGCAGCTCACCGGCACAGTGGTTATGACTGCGAGCTGCTGGGAGCGGCTTGCCGGGGATAAAGAGTTAAGCATTACATCAGGGCTTTTTTTTTTGCTCCATTAATCAAAACCTAATTCATCACAAGGAAATGAAAATACTTTTATACACTTAACTCAGTTAGTTGCTGCTGATGTTACCAGCTCAGCTTTTCTCCAGCTTCGGTCCAATTTCTAGAAGGGAACTAATACAGAAACCCCTTCTAAACGAAAGTTGTGTCAATGAGCCATAATTATTTGTTGTGGTGGGAGGGTTTGTGTTTGATTGATAAATTCTGAAAAAGATCATGAGTTATTTTGGGGGAAATTTTCTTTTTACATAATTTGCATTGGGTAAACAAATCAATGTATTGACCTATTTCTCCTCTCTCAGACTTCTGGGAAGAACAACAATACAATGACCACTCTACAGTATATGGATTTCTGGATGAGATCTATACACGCCCATGCTGCTGAAAACTCAAGTAACAAGGTGGATAACACCCAGCTGTCTCCTCCTATCTTCATCGTGGGGACCCACAGAGACAGTGTCCATCCAGACCCTGAAGTCAGAGATCAGATGGTGAGTTGTCGCAATGAATGATATTACTAATAAGAAAAAGAAGAGTTCTGCCGTTCTTATTGAAGTCTTTTGTTCCCATTCTTATTTCCGTTCTCTTTCCTCAACTTTTAAAAGAACCTATGGTGCCTTTTACTTTGATTCCTAATTTCACGGTTTTTCTTTTAAGGTTGAGGAAAAGTTTGCTGTAATCCGCGAGTTTGTCCTGGGCAAGCCCTATGTCCAGCACCTTGTGTTGCCTTTCTATGCAGTCGAGAACGCACCAGAGTCAGAAGAAGATCCAAAGGTAAGTAGAGAATCACCTTTCACTTTGCTGTGAATTTCAAATAGGTAAAGGGGAGCTCGTTGTGACAGCCTACTGCCAATTTCTATCAAAATTATCTGCTGCACTTCAAGGGTAATATGCCCCCTGAGCTATTCATAGTGTGAAAAGGGAATATTGAATGGTAGCGAATACTTCATGGATGCATGTTTTATCATTCTTGTTGGCGCCACTTATCACTCTTATCTCGTAATCATCAATACAAAGTAGGTGTTCAATTGGCTCTGCCACACCACCAATATAACTGTGAACAAACAAAAATTGTAATTGTTAAATAGAAAAGCTGAGTGGGCACAGCTCGAGCATTTGCATGTCAAGGCTGAAGGGTACTTTAAGATGTGTAATACAAATAGTATATGATAGCTAATGTTAAAGGCAGTTTAGCTAATTAAGACTTATTTGTTCCTGTGCAGATGTTTCATGCTCCTATTGATACTATCTAGATCATGTATTGATACTGTCTAGATCATGTAGGAATCAGGTGCTTTGATTCTTTTCTTTCTGAGCCAACTTCAGAATGACGAAGTTGAGACGTAGAAGAAAAAGGAAAGATTGGCTTGAATGGCCACCTCAAAGTTTTCTTCTTTTCTCCTTTCATCAATGCAGCTCAACGAGTTGCGCCAAGATGTGGAGCGTGTTGCCGGCCAACAGCCTTATGTCGGAGAACATCTACCTCTAAAGTGGCTGCGATTTGAGCAGGATTTTACTGTGCAGGCAGATGCTGGAGTGAACTTTGCCTCATTTGACCAGGTTTGACACACCATTTTCTTAAATGAATCACTTTTTGTAGAGTTAATTCATAAAGCAGGAAGTTATGGGGCTAGGGGCAGTGAGGGATCTATTTGAAAATGTGTACTGGTTTGTTTTTTTAGTCGTAATGAAAATTGTATGTGGTTTCATGTTGTGTGGGAATTAGTATGGACTTTTTTCAAAATGTGGTGAGTGAAGTTGTCGGATAGAGTTCCAGTGTACCTGAATAAGATCTGATCTTTTTTTCAAACTAAATGGAAGAGGTGGGTCCTGTAAACCAGGACGCCTTGTAGTCCACAAAATTGGGGCTTATGTTTCCTTGTTTCAATCAAAAGAGTCTGTTTGAAGAGTACAAATTCAGATTACTTCCAATTTTGAAAAGAAGTAAAATGAATTTTGATTCCTCACGGACCCAGGTGTATGAGCTGGCAGTTAACCACAGGATCAGCGGCCCGGCAGAAGTGAAAGCATTACTGCAGTTTTATCACGACATTGGCTCCCTGGTCCACTATGGCAGTCAGATGACCAGTGACCCAGTGCTCAGCAACACAGTGGTCCTCAACCCACAGTGGCTCATCTCCATGTTCCACAAGGTCACTGCCAGTTTTCCACCAAAGGAGCAGGTAAGAAAGAATATAGCCCTCCACTAGTCAATGGGCATACTTTTGTGTTAAAGTGCTTGTTCCAAGAGGGATAAGCTAGATTGGTATTTAATTCCGGAATTTTGGACCCCAGGCTTATATTTTAAAATACAATCAGTATTATGGTTCATATGGTTCCACAGAGAGTCATTGGGACATCATTATTAGTCCAGTTTCTGTCTTTTAGACTAAACAAGGTTTACAGATTTAGCAAATTGAATTATTTCTTTATTACACTCGATGTTAATTCAATTTTGGCACTTATCAGCTGCGGTATGGGTTAAAAGATCCTCAGGTAAGTATTTTGAAGTTCTTTTTATCTTGAAGTATTCCCTCCTCGAGATGGCCCCCTAGTTCACAATAATTTGTGTTGTTTTGTGTCTCATTACCTCTATTATTTATTGAAATTTTACAGATATTTTATTTCTTTTCGTTACTTCTAGAGTAAAAATGATTCTACTTATGTTCCAGGGTAGATATCAGAAAATATTTTTTCCACACCTTTCATGACCACTTTTTCCCTGACAGTAAAGATTCTCTTTTGTTGAATTCTTTCACTTCATTAGTGACTTTTTTATCACTCAAGCATACCATTTGTTTGTTGCACTGTGCATATTATTCTTTCTCTATGTTTGTGAAATTTGTTGACACATGAACTTATTGTGAGTTTGCTATGATGGCATTTTTCGGAATCTTTTTTCATAATTTTTATACCATCTCCGCAGTTTTTGACACTCATCCTGGAAAAGCACAGAGTATTGTGATTTTCACTGACTCACTATCAGTATTACAAGCCATAGAAAATGACCATCATCTAAACCAAGATTTGACCCATATACTGTTTGGATCCAATCATCTGATAACATTCTGTGGCATCAACCTAGTAATGCAGTGGGTCCCCGGACACTCAGCCATACCTGGAAATGACAGAGCAGACACACTCGCCAAACGGGGATCTAGACAGGAACAACCCAACACTCCAACTTCATACAACACTGCAAAACAAATCATCAAAAGCAACAACAAACAAGATTGGATGAACAGATGGGCCCTGGGAAAGACAGGCAGAGCAGTTTTCAAACATATGACTACAACAATAAGGAATGACAATATCAACCGCCCTCAGAGAAAGAAACAGACCACGATCTTCCGCCTACGAACAGAACATATACAGCTCAACTTCCACCTGAACAGAATAAACCCAGAACTTCCCCCAATGTGTCCCTTGTGTGACTATGCATATGAGACTGTGGAGCATCACCTGTTCTACTGCACAGCCCTAAATGACATCAGAGCTACCCTTCTCCCTCCGAGACCTAACATAGACAACACACTCTATGGAACATTACAGCAACTGCAGCAGACCTGCACTTATCACTACATGGCATTGGACAGAAGGGCGAGAGCTCAGCTGTTTCTGGATCGATAACAACAACAACAACATTTGTTTTAAAAAAATAATATCATAATTTTGCCTTACAGTATTCTTTCTCTTCTTTAGTAAAACGATTTTATCCAGAAAGCCAACCAGAATGTCATTGCTGAGGCCATTTTCTTTCTCCTCGTAAGAGGAATTTTTTTTTTGTCAAACAAATGTACTGTAATTTTGCTGTACCTTTTGTTTTCTTTCTCTTTTTCAGTGGAACTTGTTGTCGGACAAGTGGGCCCAGCTGATAGATCACGGAGTCCTGGACGAGAGTTTGCTGCCCGTGATCTGGTCAGACATGTCTGACCATCAACCCTTCCTTTTGGCGCTGATGTCGAAGTTTGACTTGATTTGTCCCCGATTGCCTCCTGCAGGACAGGTGAATAAATTGTTCAACTCCTACCACAGTACATATTTAGGACTTCTGGTAATACAGCTGCCCCTGTTAACTTTTCCTGCTATACCTATACAGTTATTCAGCTTTGGTAAATAATTGTTAACTTTTGCTGTTAAACAGCTACCCACATAAATAATTGTTAACACCCTCCCTACAACAACTAGTCAGGCCAATATATTTTTATTCTAACCCTATGCTGTATTTTTAAAAAAAATTTTTGGTGCTTTATTTCAGTTGCATTTTGTGTCATAAATATGATTAAAAGAAGTCATTTTTCAGGTATATTTAAATCTAAAGATTAAGAAAAATAAAAAGAGAGAGCAATAGACTTCTCATCTCTAGACCTAGTTTAAGACATAAAGATAGGACTATTCTTAATCTTGGAAGAGAGCAAGACCTTCTGAGTGGAGTCAGCTGACCATCTGGAATGGTGCAGCCTAAGGTCCAAAGAAAAGCAAAAAAAAGCAAATAGTAATAATATATGTATAATAACGTTTGACTTATCATCACATTTGAGAATGTTACCAGGATCCTTAGTAGTCACAGTATCTGGCTCAGTGGTGTAGCTTGAAATGGCAGTAAATTAGAGCAGAGAGAAGCAAAAGAAATTGAAAGTAGAGATGGAGGCTTGGGCTGACTGCTGACCCAGGCACTGACACCACATTTTATTTGTTAGAAACAAAAATGAGGCCTCTGCGTAATGTCTTCAATCTATTTTTATCATCATTTCATAGCTTCCCTTTTAGGAAATCTAGTAGAAGAAATGAAAGGCGTGTCTGACGAGCATTTTTTTTTGCACCCCCCCGGTGCAGGTTTGAAAATAAAAGTGTTACGTTATTGCTTATTATTCTCGTTGATTTAGGTGAAGGTGAAGGTGACCATACTGACTGAATACTTTAATATTCTTTTTGGACTGAACTGTCTCGTATGACATTATTTGTACTTCAAAACACTTTTTTCAATATTGTCCTTTTTTTTCCCCCTCTTCATTCACAGACTTACAGACAGACAAGTAAAAACTACTATGTGCCAATGCGATTTGGTTCTTATAAAGACAAGAAAAAAGTTTATGCACAAACAGTGCACGATGCTCAGTTTTTTGTGGATTTTGGTGGATTTTTGCCAGGTGTGTACATTTATGGTGATTTGTCTTTTTCCAAAAGGTCGTGAATTTCACCCCATTCAAAGCTCATTTGGTTCCCAATAAATTCCTTGATTGGTTTATTCATTTCAATGTACCATCCCAGTCCCAGGAGGGACCAATAGAGCAACAGCCTGTTAAATATTAAAAGTTTATCTTTTACATATTTTTGTCTCTACTGCTGGCAAAGTTGAATGAACTGAAGGAAATATAATGCCAAATTATCTTTGCGGATTATATGACACCGTACTTAACGGAACAGGAATAGAACCTGTGATCTTGTTATTGTAAATCTGTTTACTCAAATGATCTGGGTAACATGCATTTATTTTTATTTTTGTTTTTCTTTTAAATTTTGCGGAAAGTCGTGAGATATGCTTTATAGTATTTTCAAGTTAGCTTTTAAAGAAGTTATATCATTTGTGCGTGTCATAAGAAGGAGTTAAAACAATTTATGTCTGTTATAAAAATTATTGTGTATTTAGTTGACTATACTATGATTATTTCAGATGGTCTGTTTCATCGCATCCAAGCCCGTGTGATTAGCTGGTCCCAGGAACATGGTGGTCGTGATCTATTTCTGGCACGGGGCCTAGCACGAGTCTTTGTAGACCCAGATCACGACCTTCTGCTTGAGATGTGTGCACCACATCTACACCGCATCAAGGTAGGCGCAGGCCTCATTAACACAGAGGAATATGAAATGGAAATTCTAACATTTTCATTTTATTTTTGTGTTCAATGTCACATTCTTTTTGCTTTTATTTTCAGATTTGAAAGAATTTTAATTTTGTTTCCCTCATTTGCCCAGAGAGGAAAGTAAAACTTTTTATTTTTCTACCTTTTTGGGCTGCGAAATTCATCCCTGTAAAAAATCTTTTCTGTGGTGAAAAGATCTGGGTTGGGAATGTGACACCTGGCAAGATCAGAGTTTTCTCACATCTACGTCAGTAAAAATGAGAATGTCAGTGCCTTCTTATTTTGTTGCCTTTGGTATGTGAAAAATTTACTGTGGTTGAATAAAAAGGATGTATTCTTTTGTGTGTGACTGGACACAGCTGGAAGTGTTGATGGTGTTAATATATACCTGCATGAGATCAAAATTGTCCTATGACAGAACTTGTCTGAACAGGTCGTATACTGTAGCATTTATAGAAACCTTTTTGCAGACATAAAAGTAAATGAAGCATAATATTGTTTCAGACTTTTCAAAAAAGTAGAATAATGAAACGTTATGGTGGTGTCTATTTCATCTTTCAACTCCATAACTTCTAGAAATAGTTTAATAAGGCACAGATTGTTTCCACATAGGGATTTGGACCTAAATCACCTAAATCATATTCTAGCTTCTCACCAGTTTTGTTGTATGCTTTCAGGTCCTAGTAATGCATGTCAAAGACAAAGAAGCGACGTCTTCTAAGCGAAACTCAAGCCCTTCCCCTCATGTGGTGGCTAAGGTGAGTTTGACTGGATGTTTTTGATAACTGTTCTGAGTGAGACAACAAATACATACTTCCCCCCCCCCCTCTCTCTCTCTCTCTCTCCCTCTCCCTCTCCCTCTCCCTCACTGCTAACACATAATATGAGGTCATTCATTGAACAAACAAGGCATGTACATGTAATGAAATAGAATTCTGATACACAGTGTGCTGTCTATTTCCAGGTTCGCAACTTTCTGGAGTCATGTCTTGTGGATCTACGCAGCATGTGGATGAAACGCTTGGCTTACAACATGTGCTTTGTATGTCCATGTGGACGGCCGTGTCTTCTTCACAACCAGGACAGCTGTCAGATGGAGGAATGTATGCATTTCCTTGACTTGGACGAATGTCTAAGCAACCAGGTGAGGAAGAAGAAATGAAAAACAAGCAATAAGACAATTTTATGCATCCTCATATGGAAAATTTTTGGAATGCTTGACACATGTGCATAATATGTGCATCAAATCATTTCTGGTTACTTCTGTTCAGAACCAGACTTTTAGATAAATATATATGCAGCTTAATATGTCTTATTTACTAACACATTTCAATGACAACTCATACGATTAATGTTTCACCCTTAAAAAAAATACTGAACTAAAACTTGGGACAGGCATGCAGTGTGGTTGTGCCATTTTTTGGAAGGTTCTGTAATTCTACTCACATGAATTGATCAAAAATCTCTATTTCTTAATTTGTTATACATGTTTGACTTTGACTTTTTGTGTGAAGATATAATTGACCTCAGGGGGACAAGGACATATTATGTTGAATGCCTTATCCATTAGACTTAATTGTTACCCGTAGACCTCCCTTGATTGCACTGTCATTGTCCCCCCCCCCCCCAACACATGTAAAAACACATACTCACACTAAATACATTTATGTCAATTGCATTTATCAGGTGGTGTGTTGTGAACACAGGAGAGTTAAGACAGATGCCTTCAAGAAATGGTTTCCTGAATCACACCAGCAAGGTGACACACTCTCTCTCTCTCTCTCTCTCTCTCTCTCTCTCTCTCTCTCTCTCTCTCTCTCTCTCTCTCTCTCTCTCTCTCTCTCCCTCTCCCTCTCCCTCTCCCTCCCTCCCTCCCTCCCTCTCTCTCTCTCTCTCTCTCTCTCTCGTTCTTCCCCCTCCCCTCCTTCCCCTCCCTCCCACCATGCACACCTACACTACTCGCAGCATCTCTATTGTCTTCTTATATCTTTTAGCCCATCCCTATTTCACATGGATGCTTTGCTATCTTACTCTGTTGCCCTCTGCCTTTTTCAAAGTGCTCTTTTTAATGAGATAGTATAGTAAACAGTCTAAAGACCATTGCTGTGTATAATATTTTAACATTAACAAATGTTATATGGAGTGCCCATGGGGGGATCCTTTCTCTAGTACAAACTGGTTGCCAACCGATCTCCGTCTCGTCACTTGAAAACAAACACGTTTGTTTTTTAGGCGACGAGTCAAGCAACTGGTTTGAGCCACGATAATAGCTTAACGCCCTCAATCTGGCTAGCAAACCAAATCGAACGGAACTGATCATGACAATGGGCACTGGGTAGTAGCAGACTTTGAATATGCCTTCAGACAAGTGGTTGATGTGTGCTTTTTATGTTGTTAGTTATTATTTTCCAAAACTGTTCATGGCAACCAGCATCTGTGATATATCGGTTGGGCTCTTTGCCAATAAATGCTGAAGGTGTTGGTTCATTTCGTATGTGGGAAAATGATTTTATCCAGTATTTCTGTCTCTTTGCTGAGATATTGTTTCCACTCAGCTTGAAGTGGCTCTGACTGGCAAGGTGAAAGTAGCTTGCCTTTTGAATTATTTGTATTGTGTCAGTTGGGTGTGAAACATTTACCATCAGAGACCCTATCTGTTTAAGGCAAAATATGGCTGCTATGCTGTGTAAACATCAGTTAAGCTCGCCATCCCCTTGAGAAAACATTAGCCTCATATTGATTTCCTCAGTTTGAAGCATTCGGTTGTTATTACGTTCAGTCTTTTTTTTTTCCAGTTCGCAGCTGGACTGCTGGAGTCAAGCGGTTTAAGTTGTGGGTTGAGATCCCCAGTGGGGGTATAACATTGTCTCCTCTTAACACTAACTTTTCTCCCTTCTTCTAGATGGGAAGACTGGAAAATCATGTCAGTTTGTTAGTTTTAGCATTTGCAAGATCATAGATCACACAACTATTTCTTACTAAGCTTAGATGTTTCATTTGTGTTTTAAGTTCTATTCTAGTAGTAATCAATTATACAGTATTCAGAACCAACTTCTGACTAAAGATATGAGCAGTGAATGCATTTAATTTCTTCTATTGCATTTGTTTTTTCCACAGAGTTTAAAGAACCGATCTTGAACCCGGTGACCATAGAGCAGGGGCGAGGCAACATAGAAAGAAACATTCCCAACCTGCCCAGCTGGCTGAAGGGGGCTGCAAAACTCCTCAACGGAGCACCAGAGAACCAGGGCTGGATAGCCCTAGCACAGCACATGGGTGAGTACTTAGCATGTTTGTTTGTTTGTTTGTTTTATTTGTTTGTCTGGTATCCTTTTCAAGGTTGAGATATTGTTGCTTGAAAGAAGTAAAAGCTATGAAAATATATTTGAGTACTTTTTTCCACAAGAAGACACACTGGTTATATGTGTAGCATCGTTGTGAAATCAGGGGCTTGGCAAAATAATGAAATCAAAGAAAACAGCATTTTATGTCAGTTGGGCAATTTTTATTAAATTTGTGTTTATTGGCTCAACTCCTTTTATGTCTATTTAAAAACACATTTCTTTGTGGATTTTACTAAAAACCTTGATTACAGGCACTAAGAAAATGTAAATTTTCAGTTTCCAAAGACTCGAAAGCTATGGAAGTCTCCAAACTTTAGCCACCATTTTCTCGCTAATTTTACTTTTGAAAGCAGGAGACCCCCTCATCTCCTTCAATCGCAAATACCTCGACTTCTATTTATGGCAGATGGGTATTTTTTGCTGGAAAGATAGTCAAATGAACAAGCTTTAAGATGATACCAATAACCCCACTTACCACCCAAAAATTGACGAGTGCCTGATTCCACTTCATCATGACACGTATTTAGATTTTAATTTGCTCTGTAAAACGAGCACTATCCCCATTAGTATTGCAAGGAGCTATGAAAATCATGTTCCATTACTTCCTTCCCCTGGTCTGTGTAGTTGATACTCATCAATGGACAGTTTGGGGACTTAAAATACAGCCAGTCACACATCTCTCACATTTGTTCACCCATTCTCCAATTTGAATCATTAGCTTTCCAGTTAAGTTCCAGTGGTGTGTTTATTTTATTAAAACTTTCTGAGCAGTTGGATGCTTCTTTTATTTTAGTATTGTGCAAACTGTTTAACTTGACATTTGATACTAAATTAAAACTTTTGAGGCCAGTAATGAGCTTTTGTTAGGTAACGAATAGGATGCTTTACAGGCCAATGTTCTTATTAGAGAGCAAAGGGGGTGGGGGGAGAACATGCTTACTGGAGTTTCAAGATGAAAAGGCTAATTTGACTGTTTTGAGGCTGTAGGTGGATATTGTGGATGAAAGATTACTTTGTAGTGGGAGGAGGAAAAAGTACTTGGAGCAAATATTATAGATAGGACAAAACTGATGATTATTGTTTTGAATAGGAATTATTCTTGTTCTCCAAGGTATCAAAAGTTTGTGTACAAAAATTACACGCCAGTGATCCTGACTAATAAGTCCTGCTACAACTTTTTATAATATTAGGAAAACAAGGATTTAAAATTTCATAATTTAATGGGGTTTTCTTTAGGAACAGAAAAAAACTCATATTTTATGTGGTTTGAGTTTCTGCTGTTGCATAGAAAATCTTATTGTTTTTGTTTTTGTGTTATACTATACCATTCATTAATTTGTTCCCTCATTTCTGAGAAAAAGGTAGTAACATAATATATTGACGTGGCTCTTTCAGGTTACAAACAAGGTCGTATCGACTTGCTGAATGAGGACTTGAACCCCTCGCTAGCCCTTCTCACAGACTGGATCGTCAGCTCCGGCAACACGGCCATGTCTGTGGACGTCCTGCTGCACCACCTGCAGCAGCTGCCGGCGCCGGATATTGTAGAGCTTATCACCAGAGCCAAAGGTCAGTGCTGTATGTTCTCAGACCTGCTGTCATCCGCAAGATCCAGTCCAGTCTCCTTGTTTCAGAAACATAAACCAGTCCTTCCCTTCTCATTTTTTAAGACTTTCATGGGGTGTATTCTCAGTTCCATTTCTACAGCTCAGTATAAAACTCAGTCATACATCTTTTTTCAAAATGGCGTATGGCAGAGTGTTACACTAAGGATTTGATTTATTTATTAGGGTAAACGTTCAAACCAGCTGTAATGGCCACCTGTCCAAGGCAATCATGTGTACAAATGACCTGCTCCTTCCTCCGCTTTTTTTTGCTTTTTTTTGCTTTTTTTTTTCCTTTATCATAATGACGCTGCCCAGGATACCTCCCTGTCGAAGACAATCACTTATCTCCTCGACAATGGGTGACCATTTTGGACAATTTCAACTGTATTTTCTGTTTGTTCTAGAGAGCATATTGTTTATCTTCTTTAGAATTTCTGTTGTATTCCATGGAATATATTCTCTCTTTGTTCCATAGAGTGTATTCTCTCTTTGTTCCGTAGAGTATATTTTCTATTTGTTCCTTAAAGTATCCTTTAAACGCACTCCATATGTGTATTGTGTATGTTCTCCATTTGTACCTGAAAGTATATTCTGTTTGATCCATATTGTATATTTTCTGTTTGTCCATTTAGTATGTTTTCTGGTTGTTCCATAGTATATATTGATTTGTTCCATAGAGTATAATCTTAGGGTTTCGTCTCAGAGGGAGGAGAAGTGTAGAGCAGGGGAAAAAGTGGTGTAGCAGTTAGACATTTTACTGTCACATTTAGGAGACCCAAGTTCAATTCCAGAGTGGAAAAAAAGGCTGCAGAAAGAGTCAGGAGCCCATAGGAGGGGGCAAAGGAGGTAAGGGGGTGG